AGTCCCGGGACGAGTTGGCTGCTAAGCGGGACAGGCAGCAGTGGCAAAAACACCCGGCAGGCCGGATAAATGTCCTAGGCAGGCTGCATGTGGCCTGCGGGCCGTAGTTTGAGGACACCTGCTCTACTAGGTATATCCCCAGATGATCAAAAATTGTTTTACAACAAAGACATTTGCACCAGAATGTTTACTGCAACCCAAATCATATTAGCCAAGACATGGAAACAGCCCAAGTGCCCATCGACCCATGAATGGATTAGCAAATTGTGGTGTATGTACACCATGGAATACTATGCAGCCACACCTTTTATGTTTACCTGGATGGAGCTGGAACATATTCTTCTTAGTAAAGTATCTCAAGAATGGAAAAAAAGTATCCAATGTACTCAATACTACTATGAAATCAATATATGACCAACTACACACTCATACGAATGGCAAAACTTAACTATGGTCCAGAAAGTAGAAGGGAAGAGAAGAGAGAGGGGAGGGGAGGGAGGATATGGAAGGAAGGAGGATATGGGAGGAAGGAGGGTATTTGGGGGGACCTCACCTAATGTGCATGATACAATGGTACATTAACAAATGAGTATAATTGTGATGGATGTGTTACTAAGTTTAATGTAAACATTTCACATTGTATATCAAAGCAGTACTCTGAACCCCATAAATGCATCAATGTACAAAGTTATGATTTAATAAAAAATAATTTAAAACAATAAAAAATAAAAAGAAATTAAAAAAAATAAGTAAATAAATATTCCTTAACTGGGGAAAAAAAATGTTCAGAGCAGTGCCTGGCACCTAGTAAGTACTCAACACATAGTTAGCTAGTGTTATTTTTACAATATAAATGGTACAAAGCTGGTTTTACTCTCATGAAACCAACAACCAACTTGGAAGAAGGTATAGGAACCTGTGAAAGATGTAACACAAAGGAAAAAATCGGTTTTAAACGTCAAAAAATCAAGTACAAATGAAATACACTATTTCCCTGGAAGACTAATTTAACAAAACTACACTCATCTGTATGTTAAGGTTCAGGTGTATTTGTTAAAAAATAACTCCCCCTAAAAGGGCAGCTATAATACTAGATTTAAGTTATGAAAAATTGTCTTTATAGGTCAAAGACAGATTAGCATTTTCATATGGTTCAGTGTAACACTTTCTAGTTCATCTTGCTCATGAGAGTTGAAGGGAAGCCCTCTAGATTTGTGTGAGAAAAAGCGTCAGACTTCCAGTGCAACAGAAGAAAATACAGGAATTCGGGCTCCAAAGCATCTCTGAAAGACACCTAATTCAACCTCACAAAGCTATAAAATAAAATAAAGTGTCCAGAAGAGAATCTTAAATATATGAAGAGAATAATTAGGAACGTCTGTATATTTTAATGAATTCGGAAAAAGCTTGATTGACTTTCTTCTCCTTGTATAAAATTATAGGTAATGTCTGTGGCCAAAAGAAATCCCCCAAACCAATTATAGCCTTATTCCTCTGAGTTCAGCCCACAGTAGATAGTAAACTCATACTTACCAGTTCGTGTTTTTCTAAATAAATGTATTTTTTTACATTTTCTAAATAAATGTATTTTAGAGACATCAACTTGCAAAGGAGCACATCAAACTTAATGTTACTCAAACTTTTCTTTAATAAAGAAAAAATCAAAGGCATTGTTTAACAATTTTGCACAACTACGCTTAACTGACAAAGATCTGTTTAAGAATCTTAAGGGTAGCAAAGATGTATGCTAAGAGGATACCACCATGAAAAAAGACAAATACATTCTATCACTAGAAAATGCTTCAAGACAAAAATATTAATTCAATAAGAAAATATTTCATATATCTTTTATCACAGAGACTGTTAATTTAATTAACTCATTTCTGTAGTAAGTTACGTGGCATACATTCCTTTTTCTGGTTACTCATGCAAAAGGTTAGAAACTTTTTCTCAAACAGAGCAAGTCAGTGCTAATGGTTTCAAATCAGGGCTGGGAGTCAGCCTAGAAGAGCATGCTTAGAAGCCATTTACAGTTAACAACAGCCCAGCCCGACACTCTCCCCCACCTCCCAAAAAAGGTTCAGTTAATTTCTACTACTAATGAATGATCCCTTATACTTCTTCAATAGATGTACGTATCACTACAAATATACTATACATTAACAGGATATCATTCAATGCAGAGGAGAGCAGCTGGAGCCTAATGATACCCTGGAGGTCTCTTGGTGCTGTTTTAGAAAACAAAAAACTCACCTCACTCCAACTAATACATAAAAATAATACTTTGACAAAAAGTGTTCCTCCTGCCTGTATGCTTACCCTAAAATGCTGTGTGAGTGGCTTGAAATTAAGTAAGATTAGGATACAAGAATTAATAAGTATACCTTAGAAAAGATAAGTAATCCTAACCACATTATCTTATGAATAATTTCCAGAACATAAAAATACAATAAATACTATGCTGGAAATATAGGGATTCATTTATTACTTTTTGGTTTACAAACAAAGGCACCCAATAATGCTTCTATTTACTTTATAAAAGATTATCAATTTACATTTAAAACAAAAAACATAAAACAAAAAATCCCAAATCAGCTCTTATAGACAAAACACAAAAATGGGAAGAAACGAGATATTCTTCCTCCCTGCTTTCAAGCTTCACTACACAGATTCAAAGAATGTTTATTTTATGTCATTCTTAAGTCAAAGAATGTATTGCCATGCTTCTTTGCATTGAGTGTTAGGACATTAATGTTGCCAAGTCAAATTTAAAGATGGATACAATGATAACACAATTTACAGATGTATATGCCAGGGAATGAGGGGAGGAACGCAAATGTTTTAGAATACGGCTTTATCAGTTGGTAAGTGAAATATGAAACTGATTTTATTTAGAAGGCTATCCTGTTAATAATGAGTTTATGTAAAAAATATAATCAAACAGAACTAAAAGTCATGTCTAGTAAATGGCATAAAATGATTTCCAAAATCTTTAAATTTCACCTATATTCTAAGTCTAGTTAGTGGGGATTAATAATCTATATACTCTTTAATTTTAGAACTTTAAATTCCAAAATAACATACTTAGTTAATTTATTCATTACCTTTCTTTTCACAACAGATTCTAAACAAACTCACAAAATTAAAGTGGCCTCAGCACCCTCCTAACTTAGTTAGCATTTCTTTAAGTTAAATTACAAGAACAATGAAGCAGTTCAGAAGACATACACTTCCTATGCACTTCAAGGCCCGCCCAAGTTGTACTGGACTCTTTTGCAAGAAACAAAGACAGTTCATCTAAGTATATGTGGCAGAAGTATAAAAATCATACAAATGTTAACATGTTTTCAACACATTATGGAAATGTATTTGGAGAGATAAGAGTACTTAACGTACAGTATGTGGGCCACTTTAAATCAAAGGCATCTTCATTTATTCCATTTTCAGACAATGTCATGGTCTCGCACACCTTTTACAAGGTATGGTCCTAGACCAGAGACTTGAGTATCATTCCAAAGAATATATAGATATTTATATACATATTTCTTTTAAATTAATGTTTAAAAGTTTTACTACAGAAAATCTAGCTTTGACATGGAAGCATTTTACCTTTTCAAGATTATATACCTGCATGGAAAAAGTTGATCTCCTTTACATTTATTTTTTTCACAGTAGCAAAATAAACTTCTTATACAATCGTATTTAAATTGACAAGAAAATTAAGATGTAAAGTTCCAAGTAACTTTTTATATTGTGAACTGTCCTCTTTAAACATATTCCAGATACATTACTGATGATATAAATATAGTACAACTTGATCAGCTTAATTAGAACTGTGTTACGCTAAACAATCTGTTAAACTCAAATGTATGTTAAAACAGTAAGTAGAGTTAACTACTATTAAGATTTAAAGGGAATTATATCATTTAACTATACATCAATTTTCTTGCTATTACTTGTTTCTATATGCATTTCTTTCTAAAGCTAAAACCACATGCAGAAAAAATAAATGGCATTGTCAAACTCATTCAACAGTTTGCTACTTTATGTGGTATGTAAATAAAGTCCTTTATTTAATTTTATACATATTATCTTATGCATTATTTTATTTTTCTTGAAGGAATTCTTTTAAGGTCAAAATTACTATCTGTTTAAACACATCAGGACATTTTATTAATGTTATTAATTATCTGCAAATATATTCTTCCATAATAATGCACTTTCATTCAGGAAAGACAGTCCACCCCTTTTAAAAGTCCTATGAATAAAATTTATAAAGGGAGGAGAACACAAGTATGGTGATTCACTCCCCAGTCCCACCTCCAAGAATGCCTCAAGAGATTCTCCTGCTTCAGAACAACACAATCTCTCAGGATAGATTTTCATTTGATCATATTCTGAAAACAAAAATGTATTCCTAGTCTTTTTGATACTAACAGTTTTACTGAACTTATTTTCACTTTCCTTCAAAAAGCACACAGCATATGTTGATATGGATTCTCAAACCCACTCAGATCCAGTAGGGTCTTCAGAATAATATATAGCCTTCTGATTTTAAAAGCAACTGGTTGCTTATAGAAAAATGATATGCATCAGACATTAATCAAAAAAGGGAAAATAAGAACATATCATTCATGTTTGATACCACTCAATAATCTGCAGGATGATGTGAAAATAGTTTGGTTATAACTCT